CGCCCTCCGTGTGGGGATGTGGCTGAGGGAGGGAGAGGGAGGAGGCGGCGCCGCCGGCCCGGGTCTCGCGAGAACTTGAGAGGGTTGAAGGGGGGAGGGAAGGGGGCGCTCACCCTGCTCTCGCGAGAGCTCAGCAGCCACCGGCCCGCCGCCCGCCTGCCGCTCATTGTCCGCGCGCTCCCGCCGGGGCGGATGGGAAGGCGCGGGGAGGGGAGGGGCGGGGAGAGGCGCCCGCCTGGCCCCGCCCCCCGGCCCGCGCTGAGGGGGCCGGGGCGCGGGAGGGGGGAAATCGCGGGCCGCAGGTTCGCGGCCGCCCTCAGCCTCCTTAGAGCCTCCCGCCGGCCCCGGCCGCCAATAACCGGACAAGCTCTCCGACAACCGGAGAGAGAGTCCCGGGCTTGGTGCCCTCTGAACCCCTGGTAACCCCAGGAAGAAACGCGTCCCCAGCGCCTTTGGAGACAAACCCTCCTCAGAGAGAGCTCCCCTCACATCTCCCTCTCCCTCCTTCCATGACTGGAAAGGGAGGAACGGGTAGCACTAGCCAGGCGTTTTCGCGCATATTTGCCCAAGATAATAATTATTTGTCGCTGCCACTTGACTATTCTGACCCCAAAGCCTTGTTATCTTTGTAATTGGTCTCATAGTCCCTGCAGCAGCCTCGGCCTGGCAGCCATGTTCTGCCAGCTCAGGCCCGAGGACGGCTCTCCTCAGCAGGATGAAGATGTTACCCTCTCTTAAATATTTAAGACAATGGGCTCTCCGTGCCCATCAGGGTCGTTAGAAGATTCTGGCAAAAAGAAAAAAGCCCACAGTTTGTGCGCAAGGCTTGTCCTCTCCGCTGAGCCAATGTTGCCACCTGGTGTTGGGCTGAGGAGAGTTCACCCTTCCGGCGCTCGCCTTGAATTTGTGGTGGTTTTTATGACCAAAACAGTACTTGTAGAATCAGGTAAATAACATTTATCATTTAAAATTCTGTCACATTCGATATCTTTCTTTCCAGCTTGATTTGGGGCTAAGGATTCGGCCTCTCCACCACCACAGGAGCTGCTGCCTTGGGCGGCTTTACCAAGGCAAGGAGGCCGTCTCCAGGGAAAAAAAGTGAAAAATCTGCCTTTTGAATTTGATTTTTCTTATTTATGTGTGGCTGGAGAGCACAATGAAACAATAACAAAGATGGTATTTGAAAAAACAAACAAAAAACAGGAGACCAGTACAAACTACCTGTTGAATATGAGAGCGCTGAGAGAATGATCAGAAGAAATGCAGGTCTCTGAACAAGCTCGGGATAAAACACAATTAGGCGCTGAAAAGCCAACACGTACATCTAAGTTAACAACAGTCCCGTGCTCAGCTGCTGCAGAGCAGCAAAAGCAGAGCAAAGCGCCTGGGTGGAACGGGAAGAAATCCAGCCACTTTTGCCCAGTAAAACGTCGTATCGAGATTGCGGAGCTAATAATAATATACAGTAGCGAAGGGTGCTAATAAACAGAATCATAAATCACTCCAGCGTTTCCCCGAGCAGAAAAGCAGCCTTGCTCCCTTCTCCTCTTGGGTTCTGACATTTTTTACGGCGTTCCTATGGTTTTTTTCCAAAGTCTGATGGATTCTTTTTTTTGGGGGAAAAAAAAAGCGGTTTCCCTCCAGCTGCAGGGCCTGGAGAGCCCCGCCAGCGCGGGAGGCAGAGCTCTGCGGCCGCTCCCCAGCGCTCCCATGGGATAACCACCACCTTTTCTCCTGCCTTTTTTTGTTCCGGCACAACCAAGCCCCCAAGTCTTGGGTTCAGCCCTAAGAGCTTTTCTGTGGAAAACAGTTTTTCAAGGAAATAAACCAGTCAGCGTGTGTTTATTGTCCACAAAGCACACAATTTATGTGGCTGACTGTGTATATTCCTCATTTTTTTGCTGATTTTGGACACAGCTGGTATGGGAGCAGAGTGTCCCAAGGCAGCAAGCGTGTTTCCAAAAGGTCCCCTCGCTGCCCTGCTGGGGAAATTGGGGGCACGATGGAAACCCACAGGAAACCCCGACGTTCGTTTTGTAGGTAGAACATGTTCACGCAGAACCAGGGAGATTATTTATGTATGTCATAGATGGCCATTAAAAAAACCCTTTTTCTCAATAACATTCAATACTTTGAAAACCTTTCTGTATAGAGTATCATAAATGTGTATTCAAAGCTCATCAACACTCAGAGGGCAGAAGGGCTAAACAGGTAAGCGAGCAGCATCAGGGACATTTAAAAATTAGGAGAGCCCCAATAAAACTCAGCACTGTAATTAATTCATGTATATCCTGCATGACAGAAGCCATCAGTAACTTGGGAACGAACCTGGCACTTGCCAGTGTTTTTAATCAAAAGCCTCAAGTTCATATAAACTCCAGCCAGTGATAACTTTGACAAGTGTTTACAGCCCTGCAGACAGTAGTTCAGTGCGTTCAAAACTGGCAATAAAAGTTTTAGCCTAAAAAACTCCCCCAAGTTTGGGTTATTTCTCAAAGATGGAGTTGTCCAGAAGACAGCACTGAATCTGGATGGGTCAGGCACCTTAGTGAGGGCAACGTACTGCTTTGCTCTGACAATTCCGCTTGCTTTTGAGCTTAAACAGCATTTCTTTCTGAATCCACGGTGGCCAACTCCTCCCTCCCCACCAGTTTCCATGTATTTTGTGTATTTATCAGCTTTTTCCAACCCCTCTGTCTCTTGGGGGCTTCACCTCCTCCCACCCCCAGGCCCAGGGAAGGGAGATAACAAGAAAGTTCTTTCAAGTCAGGAGCCGGAGCAGAAACAAGAATTCCAGACCTTATTTCCTTCATGGAAAACTTTAAACATCTCATCTCCTTCAGAGTGCCAGCGGAAAGGAAGCCTTGTTAAAAACCTGCCCTTGCAGCAGAGGCTCTGGAGGAGAGAATGTGTACAGCAGGAGGGGCACCGGGCACCCGCTGCCCTGTTCCTGCCTCTCCAGCCTCCCACCAGCAGGAATTCAGGACAGCTTTTAACTCCTGCTGTCCCCCACAGCCTTACGATACGATGAAAACTCAAACGCTCAAGTTAAAATACAAATAAGTTTAATAAGAATATCATTTTAAACAAGCAGTGAAAGGGATTAACAAATTCTATATGTAATTCGTATTATAACCTTGCCCCCAACCGCCTTTGCTATTTCAAGTTACTGCATCCAGATCCTGAAAACAAGGACTTCTCCAGCAGCCCCACTTAAATTGGGGAAGTTTCCATCTTCTCCATCTCTTTCAAATGGGAATCTTCAAAGCGGCACCAACAGCTCATTTCCTTTTCTTCCAACAGCTACCGCTGCCTCAGCGAGGCGGCTCCTACAGCCAAGGATGCAAACTGTTAATTAAAAATTAAAACCATTAAAAAAAAATTCAAAGACAGTTAACAGGAGACCCCCAATTCAATTCTTAACAACAACCAGGTAATTAGCTGACCTTCATTTTTATACAAAAGATGCAGTATTAAACTAACTTCCTGCAACAGATACCTATTTTTTTAATTTTCTGTCTGCGCCCCATCTAGGACTAACCCCACGGGGCAGGGGTTACTCCACTCTCAGGGCCGCAGAGCGCTGCCAAACCCCGCCGCCGCCGAAGGCCAGGACGGCCGGCGGCGCCGGGAGCCACTCGGCAGCGCCTTTCCTCTCCCAGCAGCATAACACTATCGCAGGCACCGCACAGCGACGGGTAGCTGACTACCGCTGGGGGGAACGCAACCCAAAAGGCTCCAAATTGAGGTTTTTAAAGGACAGAAGGAAGTAGAGGCCCTGAAGTATCCACCCCTGGTGGCACGGGCCTTGCTTCTAACACCTCCTCTCATCAGGGCTTCCTCCAGCAACTTCCAGCTTCATTAGATAAACCAGGTGGTTATTTCCACCCCAGAGGAAGCTGGCCCAACAGCCCATTCACAAGCCTGCAGAAGCCATTATTTACTCAAAACGGCAGAAGGAGCAGTCTTTTTGCCCATCTCCCCTTGTTGGCTTGTGGAGAGAGCTAGGAAGGCTCTCCATCTCTCTTCACACCTCACGCACAGGTTATTCCCTCACATCTCCTCTCCATGGGTCACGCTATGGAAAGACCAGGTGGTTTCCACAGATGAAGAGCAGTTACCTGAGGGTTGTGTCCCCCAGAGAGCTCTTTGCCAGCCTCGAGCTCTGTGTTACAGCCGTCCCATCACCGGCGCCTCAGCCGGGCACCAGCTGGAAGCCCTAAAGAGAGCACAAGAGAAACATCACTTCAAATATTCAATTAATTAAATCTGTATTAATGGAGCTAAACAGCTGGGATCTGGCTTGCGGAAAGTGAAAAGGAACAAAAAAAAAAAAAAAAAAAAAAAAAAAAAAAAAAAAAAAGGGGTAAAAATCAAACCGAATAATAAGCTGAGAAATTACTTCTAAACGGCACAGCCTGAACAAATTACCCTCTGGTCCCAGGGCCTCACAGGTTATCAGCCAGCGCGGGCCGCCGGGCACGACCGCGTTAGAGCCATTAATAACAATTAAAATAAAAAGAGGGAATATTTCACGTGCCATTTTCCTTTTTTCCAGAGCGCCGGGGAGGGTGAGGCACCACAGGGCTCCCTCCCCGGTGCCCCTCACCTCATGGCGGCCGGGGAGAAGGAGGGGAGACCCAGCGCCCCAACCTCGCCTCATGGCAGCCGGTGAAGAGGAGGGGGGGACCCAGCGCCCCAACCTCGCCTCATGGCGGCCAGTGAGGAGGAGGGGAGACCCAGCACCCCAACCTCACCTCATGGCGACCCCGGTGCCCCTCACCTCATGGCGGCCGGGGAGAAGGAGGGGAGACCCAGCGCCCCAACCTCACCTCATGGCAGCCGGTGAAGAGGAGGGGGGGACCCAGCGCCCCAACCTCGCCTCATGGCGGCCAGTGAGGAGGAGGGGAGACCCAGCACCCCAACCTCGCCTCATGGCAGCGGCTGAGGAGGAGGGGGGGACCCAGCGCCCCAACCTTGCCTCATGACAGCCGGTGAAGAGGAGGGGGGGACCCAGCGCCCCAACCTCGCCTCATGGCAGCCGGTGAAGAGGAGGGGGGGACCCAGCGCCCCAACCTCGCCTCATGGCGGCCAGTGAGGAGGAGGGGAGACCCAGCACCCCAACCTCGCCTCACGGCGGCCAGTGAGGAGGAGGAGAGACCCAGCGCCCCAACTTCAACTCATGGCGGCCGGTGAGGGCAGTCCCGGCACCCCAACCTCGCCTCATGGCCGGCGGGGAAGGGGGAGCCCCGGCGCCCCCAACCTCACCTCATGGCGGCCGAGGAAAAGGGGAGCCCCAGCACCTCCACCTCACGGCAGGCGGGGAAGGGGCAATCCCAGCGCCCCCAACCTCATCTCATGGCGGCTGGTGAGGAGGGGAGTCCCGGCGCCCGACCTCACCTCATGGTGGCTGAGGAAGGGGGAGCCCCGGCGCCCCCACCTCATCTCATGGCCAGGGTGGAAGGGGCAGTCCCGGTGCCCCCACCTCACCTCATGGAGGCTGGTGAGGAGAGGAGTCCCACCACCCCCAACCTCACTTCATGGCGGCCGACGAAGGGGCAGTCCCAGCACCCCCACCTCGCCTCATGGCCGCCGAGGAAGGGGCAGTCCCGGCGCCCCAACCTCACCTCACGGCAGGCGGGGGAAAGGGGGAGCCCCGGCGCCTCCATCTCACCTCACGGCGGCCGCCCCGGCGCAGCTCTGCAGCGGTGCCCCATGGCGGCGGGCGGGGAGGGAGGCCCGGTCCCACCGCGGAGCCACAAGGCGGCGGGCGGGGAAAGGGGCCTGGTCCCGCCGCGCTGCCCGGGTAGTTCCGCAGGCGCCGCCCCGCTCCCCTCGGCCGCTCCCCGCGGGGCGGGCCCGATGGTGGCGGTGGCGGGGCCTGTGGGCCCGGGCGGGTGGAAATAAACTGGGTAATGTCGAGAAAGAGGGAAAAGGCAGCGAAAACTGGTCAGGCGGGGGTAGGCTTCTGGGAGACCTTAGAGCCCCTTCCAGTCCCTCAAGGGGCTCCAGGAGAGCTGGGGAGGGACTCTGGATCAGGGAGGGGAGCCCTAGGAGGAGGGGGAAGGGTTTGACCCTGAAAGAGGGGAGATGGAGCTGAGATGTGGGGAAGAACTTGTTTGGTGTGAGGGGGGTGAGAGCCTGGCCCAGGTTGCCCCGAGAAGCTGTGGCTGCCCCATCCCTGGAGGGGTTCAAGGGCAGGTTGGAGGGGGCTTGGAGCAACCTGGGCTGGTGGGAGGTGTCCCTGCCCAGGGCAGGGGGGGGCACTGGGGGAGGGTTTAATGTCCCTTCCAACCCAAACTGTTCTGTGATTCTATGAAAATGGCCTGGGTCTGCCTTCACCTCCTCTGCCCGGGGTCAGAACAAACGCTAGTGTGGAGTATTGGCTTGTACCTCACCATGCACTGCTTGTAGGGACAAATACAGTGTGTTGCTATCTCCAGGCCCGGCTGTGACCCACACTTTGGGTTATAATAGTGCATTTCAGCTGAGTCCAGCTGATGCCCCAAAGCTGCTCTGCTGCAGGACTGGACATTACAGCCACAGCACGTGTGGCAGCAGCAGCTGAGGGAAATGACTGACACAGTGCCCTGGTAGAACTTCCCTGTCAGTGATTTACTCAATTTTCTTCCCCCTTCCCACAGCTTTGGTGTTTCTTTTGCTCCTGGGACTGACTGTGCAGCACAGATGCTGTTGAGCCATGGTCCGACAGGTACGGAAGGATCGTTCTGCCACACCAGGGCTGGGGAAGAGCAGGTGAGTTCCTGGGTACTGGTGGTTTTCGGTCCGAGGGTAACAGTAAAACAGTGAAGGATCACAGCTCCAGGTGCTGGTTACACCCTGGTGTGTCCCATCCTGGGCTTGTAGCACACGTATTTTGGAAGCATTACAGCTTCACACTCCTGCCAGTCCCTTGAGCGGGTGCGCTGTGCCAGCAGACACATGTTTGTGTCCTGATTTAACCCATCCTGCTAATTTCGGGGAGCAAAATCTCTCGGATGTGATCCCTCCTTCGTTCTGTAGCTGAGCATTTCCCGACAGGGGTTAAGCAGGCTCCTGGAGCCTGTCGCGTTGCTGTGAACTCAGGCTGCATTGGGGTGCAGGGAGTGCAAAGGAGGCCATGTCTTGATGAGAGGAGCTCTCCTGAAGGCTGGCTGTGCTTTTGTTTAGTGGTAATCTCTCATCTGGCTTGAAACAAGGTGTCTTATCCCCTTCAGCCCCCAGCACTGCTCTTGCGGGAGAAAAGGTGGGTGTATTTATCTCCCACCAAGCTAAGATGAACAACAGGTCAAGCAGGGATCTTGGTATCAAAGAACAACGTGACGTTTCCTGGCATTGGCAACAGCCTGGGAGAGAGGGAAGGCCACCACAGCAACGAAACCACCATGAAACCAGCTCTGGGATGGTGGAGCCAGCACTGTGGGCACTGTCAGGGTGCTGGGCAGGCAGCTGCCCGCATCTCCCCTCCCAGCAGGTCCATCAGGAGGACACACTGCCCACTCATGGGGTGGCTGTGCTGAGCTCCGCAGACCAGTGTCCGGCTGGGGAGCTGCAGCACCGGCTCCAAGCACGGCATCGCTGGGCTCAGCCTGTTCCAGAGCCTGTTCTCATCCCCTCGGAGGGATGCAGCGGGTGTGGGGAGTGCACTCTTAGGGCTTGAGATAACCCACAACCATTTATTGTCCTTCAGACAATTCCTCTCTCACCCGATGACCCCTCCCCACCCAGGGAAGGGCAATCAGGAAAAAAGGAAACCCCAGAGTTGAAATATAAACAGATTTAATAGAATAAGACTAGATAATTAACACTAATATCACTAAAGAACCAGTATTGATCCCAATACCAATATAAACCACCCCAGGACTATCCCCAGCCCATTCCCCAGCAGAAGCCGTGCCCTCCCAGCAGGGACAGACAGTGTGGGACTCTGTGAGTGCTGGGGATTTGGGAGGAAGGGAAGGGCTCAGGGGTCCAACACCGGGGCAAGGGGTTCTCAGGAGAGAGAGAGAGATAGAGAACTCCTCACTCCTCAGCAACCTTTCTAATTTATACTGAATGTGATGTTCATGGTATGAAATCATCCTGTTGGCAGCTTGGGTCAAGTGCCCAGGTCTCGCTTCTCCTCGTCCCCACACCTGGGGAGCTTGAAAACACTGAGACCTTGAAACCTGCACTCCAGAGCTGGCTGTAAATATTTTCCCAAATTCAGACACCAGAGTCTTCTAACAGTGCAGTTTTCCCAGCATTAGAAGAGAAATTAGTCATTTGTTGCTTTAACCAGGACACACACTCACCAGGAAGCTGTGGCAAAAGAGGGCTTTATGTGATACCCATGGCTGAGCTGTATGAACAACAGGTCAAGCAGGGATCTTGGTATCAAAGAACAACGTGACGTTTCCTGGCATTGGCAACAGCCTGGGAGAGAGGGAAGGCCACCACAGCAACGAAACCACCATGAAACCAGCTCTGGGATGGTGGAGCCAGCACTGTGGGCACTGTCAGGGTGCTGGGCAGGCAGCTGCCCGCATCTCCCCTCCCAGCAGGTCCATCAGGAGGACACACTGCCCACTCATGGGGTGGCTGTGCTGAGCTCCGCAGACCAGTGTCCGGCTGGGGAGCTGCAGCACCGGCTCCAAGCACGGCATCGCTGGGCTCAGCCTGTTCCAGAGCCTGTTCTCATCCCCTCGGAGGGATGCAGCGGGTGTGGGGAGTGCACTCTTAGGGCTTGAGATAACCCACAACCATTTATTGTCCTTCAGACAATTCCTCTCTCACCCGATGACCCCTCCCCACCCAGGGAAGGGCAATCAGGAAAAAAGGAAACCCCAGAGTTGAAATATAAACAGATTTAATAGAATAAGACTAGATAATTAACACTAATATCACTAAAGAACCAGTATTGATCCCAATACCAATATAAACCACCCCAGGACTATCCCCAGCCCATTCCCCAGCAGAAGCCGTGCCCTCCCAGCAGGGACAGACAGTGTGGGACTCTGTGAGTGCTGGGGATTTGGGAGGAAGGGAAGGGCTCAGGGGTCCAACACCGGGGCAAGGGGTTCTCAGGAGAGAGAGAGAGATAGAGAACTCCTCACTCCTCAGCAACCTTTCTAATTTATACTGAATGTGATGTTCATGGTATGAAATCATCCTGTTGGCAGCTTGGGTCAAGTGCCCAGGTCTCGCTTCTCCTCGTCCCCACACCTGGGGAGCTTGAAAACACTGAGACCTTGAAACCTGCACTCCAGAGCTGGCTGTAAATATTTTCCCAAATTCAGACACCAGAGTCTTCTAACAGTGCAGTTTTCCCAGCATTAGAAGAGAAATTAGTCATTTGTTGCTTTAACCAGGACACACACTCACCAGGAAGCTGTGGCAAAAGAGGGCTTTATGTGATACCCATGGCTGAGCTGTTGTGTTTCACCTGGTGGGACACCTTATATCCAAAGTTCACAAATAACATACAAGCATTTATTTGAGATAAAACGATGCTCCAAAGCAAATTACCAGAGGGGAAAGCTGTGCAGGAATGCAGGGAAATCCATGCTGTGCAGCAAGAGGCTGGTCCTGGCATGGAGAGTCGCTGGGGTCTGGTATTTGGCATTCAGAAAGCTTTTGAAGTATCTCCCTGGTCCTGCTGAAAACGTCTTATTACAAGAGGCTGAGCATACCACACACCAAGGTCTGCATGAGCATCCCCACCTCTGGGAAGAAGAGCTGCCCACCTTGGGCTGAAAAAAGACCAAGAAGCATTTGAAGAAGACAGAGATGGAGCAGATGATGGCCTGAGACAAGAGACAGTTGGCATCTTGGAGCTCTGGCAGCCTGAGCTGCAGGAGGAGCTTGGAGGAAAGATCCCAGCCTTGACATGTCTCACTGGAGACAGAGCCCTGATGAAGATCTTCCTTTGAGTGAAGCCCAAGTGAGAGAGGTTACAGCTACACTGCCATGCCTGGCCACCAAGCACCGAACCAGTGTTAATGTGTCCGATGGAGGCTGAGGGACTTGGTGGGACTACACCTTCAGTCTGCTTGTTCCAGGGCAGGGTTTTTGCTGTCTTCTGCCAAGGCCGTTTCTGAATTGGCTCTTCCTACCTCGTGTGTCCGAGGCATGAGACCCAGCTAACCTGTGCTCTGGTCCCTGTTACCTGGTGCTTGATTTAATTTTTTCCTGTTTCTCAGATCCTCTGTTTCCTGGACGGGTTCTTCACACCCCGCAGTGTGCATCTCAGCGTTGAGGTCGGTGGGGATGTTTACAGCAAAGTTGATCTCGCTGAACTCTCCGTCTTCAGCCCAGGAAGAAAAGTACTGTCACTGCTTGGCTTTGAACCAGAGGTCCTTCCACCACAGCCCATGACACAGGTGGCACCGTGTCCTTCCATGCTGAGATGAAAAATTAGCCCTCAGCATCCAAGGAGAGACAGGAGTCAGACTCTTCAGCCTGGAAGAAATTGCTTTCTTAGCCAGATAATTGAACTAGAGGGAGAAATAGTAACTGAATGAATCAGTTCTGCTCTCTCAAAGCAAGAATTGGAACTTTTCTATCAGAGACAAGTTTTCTCCTAGCCTCCAGCTTGCTAAACTGGGGTGCTTTGGGGCTTTCTATCCCTCTGCACAAGAGCCACATGTTCCATCCAGCTCCAGAGGGGACCCTGCAGTTTCCCCTTCCCAGCCGCCGTCACACGATGGCATTGCAGACTCACAAGCCGAGCTGTCTCTGCTCGATGCTGGGAGACCTTCTCCACACCCTGGGGCCTCCAACCCCAGAAGAAGCTGTGGACTTAACCCTGCCAGGTCTCAGCCCACCACGCT